CCTAAATAAGACCTTTCCTCAGTCCCCACTTCTACTGTGGTTTATTTCTTCAACTGATGATGCTCTTTGGATCTTGGTCATCCGGTCCAGATATTAAGCAAATTTATGCTAAGGGGTTATAGCTAGTAGGTATTTTCTCAAGGGGAGTTGACACCTAAGACACTGTTATTTTCTCAAGGGTATTTGGGGATTCTGACAAGCAGCCTAGGAAGAGATCGTGTTGGTGTAGTAGGGCCTCTTGGTGATCTTGAAATCTTGCAGGTGTATGCTTAGCCAAATTTGGGGCTCTGGCCATACTTAAATACATTTGATGGTAGTAAGAATGTTTTTAAAAAATGCAGTGTCTTCTATTACTTAGCTTTAGAGGTTTTCATTATATATTAGAGCTGGAAAAGTCCAACAGCGGTCTCATTCTAAAGGTCTTTTTCATGAATTGATATGTGTATGATTTGTTGCCATGTCTTGGCATGAGAGAAGGTTTAAAAAAATAGAAAGAAAAAGAAAAAAAATACCCTGAAGATGTGCTTCTCACTAGCAGAAAAGCCTGCCTGGCCCACTGACTTGCTAGGATGAGTGAGACTGGCCCATGCTTGTGTTCTTAGGTTGATTGTTTATGTAGCTGCCTTCATTTGGGGCTACACACCCAAAGCCATTTTACCTAAAGCGCCTGGTGTTTGAGCAGCATTTGTGACCATTTATTGAAATATGCTGGGAATAAATCTAGCTCTTATAAGAAGAAAGGATAAATAAAAGGGTCATTAAAATTATTAGAAAATATTTCCTTTTTGACATTTTCCAGAGAAAAATCAAGGCAAGACTTAGCGTGCTTTCTTCATCAAGTGCTTTATGTCTCCTCCCAGCTGGTCACGTTCTTTTTAGGTGGCATTTAGGCCTTGAGTTTGGGTGAGTCAACAAATGGACAACAGCAAATGTTCAGCCATCGTCCTGGTGTCAAGCCTAGCAAATTGGCAAATTATATGGATACACCAAATGCATAAACAGGTTTGCATGAGCCAAGTATTCCAAATGGGGCCAGCAGCTGCCGGTTAGACTCTTAAGAACAGAATTGCCTCTCCTGCTCTTCTAATCTGTGACTCCCCCAAATTGGGAAATGTCAGCTCTGAGATTTGTAGACTTAGGGTTCTGGGATAACAAGTTGCCTCTTCAAACTTTCAGCTCCAAGAGATTCTTGTTATCCAATCAAAGATAGAGACATTTATACTTCCCTGTATAATTCTTCAGTCATTCGCAGCATCAGCGGTGGGCTTAGAAAAGCCTTTTTTTTTTTTTTGACATTGTTATAAAATACTCATCAGTAAACCATGAATATTTTCAGAAGAGATTCCCTTCAGCTGCTAAACTCTTCATGTTGGCAACTGGAGTATAAACCTCTTAGACTTGCACTTGTTCCTGCAGTCTGAGTTTAATTGAACCTAAGTAGTACCTTTAGGGTAATGGAAAACATTCAGTTTCTCCTCTGTTTCTCTATACCAACAACTATTTTCTCTCTCTTTCTCGCAACTTTTTCATGAAAATGTTGTCAGAAAAATGGTTGTATGCTTTGGAGGGTAGTTACTGTAATTGAAATGGGATATCTGTAGTTCTTTATTCGGTACTGAACCTGATATGGGAAACACTTGCTGATAAATCAATAAAAGCCACTTTGGGCATTATTTACAATAGCCAAGGCATGGAAACTACCTAAGTGTCCATTGATAGATGAATGGATAAAGAAGACATGGTGTGTTTATATGTACACATAAGCGTGCGCGCACGCAGGAATACTACTTAGCCATAAAAAAGACGAAACCTTGCCATTTGCAACAACATGGATGGTCCTTGAGGGTATTACATTAAAAATAAGTTAGAGAAAGACAAAGACTGTATGATTTCACTCATATGTAGGGGGAAAAACAAACTCATAGATACAGACAACAGCTTGGTGGTTACCAGAGGAGAAGAGCGTGGCGAGTATGCAAAATAGATAAATGGGGTGAAGTGCTTGTGATGGATGGAACCTGGATGTCGAATTACAGTGTTGTACACCTGGAACTTACATAATGTTTTAAACCAGAGTTACCTCAATGAAAAAGAGCTTTATATCTTGCTACAAATAATCAAGTGGAAGGCAGAAGAAACTACTGATCTAGTTGGTCCTCTAACTGCTTTTGATCAAAAGAAATTGGTAAACCACTTGGTTTAGGAATCTTCTTTTCTTTGATTCCACAGTGTCAGGAGAATATTTCCATGGATATTTTATTTATGTAGAGAAACAAAACCTCAATCTCAAACCACCATTTAAAAAAACCCACAAACTCCTGGGCTGTCATTTTGGTTGTGGACTCTGCACTCCTTTCTGGTTGTGTTCTGTGTGGTGGATGAATGTGTCTGGTGGGGGTGCATTTTAAAGGCAAGCTGGGAGTAAGGATATAATTTAGTGATGTTTTGCTGAGTGCACTCCTCACTATACATGTCTCTTCGTATATTTTAATATTTTAACAATATTCAGTTATCTCTTAGCCTACTTGAGACAGACCTAACAAGTCTGTGATTATTTCAAACTTTCATAATAGCTCAATATATGAGTCTGATTATAATATTAGTTATAACTAATATTGGTTAACTTTAGTACTATTCTTGACTGTATATGAATCAGTGTATATTTAACAAGTGAGCTGAATAAATGCCATTAAATGAGTTGTCCTTATTTTGGCTTAGGCCCTGCCCAAAGTTTAAGTTTTCATATTGAAATCTAGCATTTAACTACTACTTTTAAATCTCTGCCTTTTAATTTTGGATACCAAATATGGCAGATTTATTCAGGTGGCCAAGTAGACTTTTTCTGACCTTGAATGTGGTTTACTGGTATTACATTAAAAAAAAGTCAGTATTTGCCATTTTAGGATAGCATAAACCCATGAGATTTTCCAAAGATCATTTTTAAAGCCTGACTTGCAGCTGCCTGACTTCTACATTTTTAGCTAAAAGGCATCTTCCTTGCATTTGTATCTAAGTGACCCTGGAATGCAGTGCAGGGCTAGTTTGCTGTGGGTTAATCTTTGGATACTTCATAGCTGACAGGCACCAGCATCTGTGGTTTATGTTGCATTGTCCTTCAGGTCTACAAATAACGTCCTAAACCTGATGATAGTTAGGGGAATGTTTACTAAGACAGGTTTTCTTTTCCATTTGCACAGTTTTAAAGCTGGAGGTAAAACATAACACAAGTGTGGTTTAAAAAAAAATCTGTCACTCAAGAAGTAATTCATGGAACTAGCAAGGTTGAAGGAATACCAGGAACTCATGCTTTGTGCTGGTATGTTCATCAAGATGCATTCCTTTTGTTTAGTAACACTGTATTCTGTACTTCAATCTGGATGCCAGGTGCTAGTTCACATAGGTTTATTGAGGAAAGGGTATTTTTATATGCATATGCATTCAGGTTAAGGCATATTAGTGTTTTTCCACAGCACAACCAAAATGTCAAAGGAGATACTTTGTTTTAATATAATTTTAATGGAGTCTGGATAAGAGAGTCGTTTGAAAGTTGAACGGACCACAATTCATTTATATGCAGTCAAAGAGCTTTTGGCCCTCAATGTTGGGTATATAACCCTATTAAAAAGCCCCTGAAAATCAATGAAAAATAACCTTAAAAGCGTGGTAGCATCAAGTTCATTCTTTTTTAAAAAAAAATCTATTTTCAGTTACATTATTATTTCTTTAAATGTATTGCAATGTTTTTTATTTAAAAAATACTTTTATCCTATGTATATATTCACTACTGTCCAAAATATGTCTTTTTTTGTTGTTGTTGTTATTCTAAAAACCTCTCTTCTCAGTTATTTCAGAACCTGCTCCTTGAGGTGGCCATTTTGCTGAAAAGCAGCAGCCTGTCAGCCTGGGCTGGTTCTTGCTGAGACTGTCATAATGCATTTCTTTGCCTGACGTGGGCTTTTGTTCCAGATTTTTGAATGAAATAAAATTAAGGTCAGAGAGTTAAATACAAAAAGTAAATCTTGCAGATAGAGCACTCATTAGCATCCACTCATCAATTTCAAATCCAGAAGCTGGGAGACCATTGTGCAGTTACGCTGATACTGAGCTGATAACAGATTTGATGAAACTCTGGCAGTTGTGAAGGGCAGCTGATAATAATGGTGCAAACTCGACAAAAAAGTTTAGTAAAATCTGCAGGAGGTATTGTTTTTCATTTGGCCTTGTTCTGTGGGCTTTTGCTTGGCAAGAGGGAGGCGTGGTTCTTATCTCCCCAATAAGAGATTTTAATGTGCTTAAAAGTATTGAGTAGGCACTGCTCTTACTGCCTCTCCCCAAGACAGATAAATGGAAGCAATGTAGTAGTGTATTGAGTAGGAACGCTCGCCCAAACATATACAATTGACATAAACCTGAAGACAATTTGCATTTTTTGTAATCAAAATAAAAAAGGCTCTTTGACTATTAATAAACCTCTTTTCCTCTTTCTTTAGGATGTAGTAAATCAACAGGCACATAATCTTAGGAAATGGGGTAGCCACAAGTATTTTTCTTCAGGATCGATGGTATATTTTGATTCTTACCTACTTCTCTGTAGAGTTAAATGCTATCTTTTATATAATTAGGTAGCATCTTAAAACATAGGATGGGTCATGTTTCTGCCCTGCTGAGTTGAAGAGAAGAAAGTCGGCCCAACAAAGAGCCAATTCCACTAATTAAACTCATGCCCAAGTAGATGAACATGATATAGATGTTTGGTTTTAATAGAGCTTAGAAAGCGTACCGAGTCCTGAAGTGTTCTGTTTGGAAAGCTGTGCTCTATAAAAGTTGCCTTTAACATGGCTGATGGCTCTTAATTAGAAGGGTAGACTTGCTGGTGTGATGTCTCTGTGAGAAAGAGCAACACTGTGGTGCCTACGTATTATTATTTCTAATGTATTAAGTAAGATACCTTTCTTTGGGAATGGCATTTCTGAGTACCTGTGGTCTCTGCTCTGTTCCAGGTGTGAGTCATGGTGACACTGAGAGACGGTGACTTACTGCTTCGGGGGCACGCATGTGTATGATTAAGGGATGTAGGAGCAGGACTCCAAGGTTTCCTTCCTTCCTTCCTGTCCCGGCGGGGACGGCGGAGGGAGTGAGTGATGGGGTCATTTATAACACCGCAGGCCCTTCGGCAAGGGACCTCTAGTCAAAGCAGGAAGATAAAACTCAGATTTCAGCTGGGAAAAGACAACTTTTGATCTTCTCTGGACACTCCTTTGCAAGCAGTAGAGCCTTCAGAATTTTTGGTTTCCTTTTTCAAGGAGATTTCCATGAAAAAGGTTAGTGTGTCAGCACTGGTTAAATCACATAGGTACTCCGTTAAATTTTATACGTTGTCCCTCGATGCTTTTTGTTTCTTGACGTTCTAATGTTGGGACATCAGAGACATTTAGTGGTCCAATTATAGCCCTCGGGTCCTGTTTGTAAGATCAAGGTATTACCAAATGCGAGGAGTGTGATGACAAATTCAGCAGCTTTTTTTTTTTTTTTTTTTTTTTGCAGGGGTTGGGGGAGAGCTTATAAAAAACTATTAGTTTATGATTCTTAGAATGTTTCATGTATGTGGACTTTATTCCAGTTTTGAGGTGATGAAATGGGTTGTTGGGTGGATAGTTTTCCCCCTGTGTGTGTGTGTGTGGGGGGGGTGTTTAGGGCGAAAGGGTTTAATGCTGTGGAGAGTGCTTCATTCAGGGATTTTTTTTCTTTAAAAATATTTCGAGCAAACATAGGAAAAATTGAATGGGGCATTTGATAATATTCAAATGGTTTGTTTCATCGCCAGTGGCTCTAGATATAGGCTTCTGTGCTTTTATTTTCATGTATTTTAAAAATACCAGATATAACCTTTAGAACAAAAATCCTTTTAAAATTAGGACATATCATTGCTTTGCAGTCGCTTATTGTTCAGAGGTTTCAGGCACTATTTAACGTGATGGGATCTTCTGACTCCTTATTGCTGGTGACATTAGGTTTATGAAAAGTGAACAGCACAAGTGATATTTTAAAAATAGTGATTTTACCTTTCACTATGGAATGTCTTAGCGGTTGGCAGTAGACTACTTATATTAGAGATCCTTAAGATAAAATGGGAACAGTTCCAAGCTCTTCCTTCTCTCCCATCTGCCCTAGGTGACTAAAAGGTTCCCATAAATAACTGGTACCCTTTTGAACTGACCTTCAGGTTCATGTGATGTAAATATTGATGGTCTTGACATTTCTTGGCATGTGCATAGTTCAGGAGACACAGTATCTCCAGATAACTCAAAGCAGGTGGACGAGTGGGTAGATAGCCATGGTGTCTCACCGAGCCCCATAATTCAGAGGGGCCCTTGACATAATCCTATTTCTGGACTTTGGGCAGGGAAAATGTCAAAGGAAAAATGATCTACTAGTTCATGTCCTCTGGGCATTTCTATAGCCAAATCTCTCTGGATTGGACCCATGTTAATCTGTCCTTATAAGATGTTTTCTAGGGGGAATAATATATAAGTGACTTGTTTCATTCCCCTTTAAAACTGAGGACTTTCAGTACTACCAGGATCATTGTTTAGGTAGCTAATTGTTTGAGCTCCAGAGTCAGAGTTTCCAAGGCTCAAATCCTGGTTCTACCACTTACTAGCAATGTTACATTAGGCAAATTATTTAATCTATCTCAGCCTTTGTTTTCCTAGCCGTAAAAATGGGGGTAATAATTTAATAGAATTAGGTACGAGCTATCCAATTGTGTGATGAACACTTTAGTAAAGATTTTAAATGTTAGCCATTAATAAGCTTTCAGATAGTCTGTGCCTGTAGAGACCTACAAAGCTGATAAGACCTACAGTTATAGAAAATCTTCCCTATTTGGAGGTCCACACTCCTGGAGTACATATTCAGTTACATGAAAATCATATATTAGGGAAAAATGAGAACATAGCACTGACTTTGCAAAAATGGTTTAACAAGTTTTATCTCACTACGGGTTTTAAAGTAATTTTTCTGGTTTTATGGACATGGGAATATTAGAATCCTTGCTTCATTGTATTGTCAAGCATTATTGGTAGCCTTAATTTATACACCCATTGTGCTGCAGTTTTAGTTGCAGAACTACCCCCTGCAGCGATTATTATAGCACTTGGGAGGGTGGAATTACTGCGCTCTGGCTTGGGTATTTTTTTCACTAAGAAGCACAGGCACCACGAGATGGTACTTACCATCTGTCTCTCGGAGCATTTGTATGTATATTACCTGAGCACTTAGGCACCACTGAGAAAGGGGGTTTAAGGTGGAGAAAAAAGAGGAAAAATTGAAAATAAAATAACATGATGGAAATTACAGAAGCCTCTTTGCAAAGAATACCTAAACTGCTCTTAAAAGCAAGATTTAATAGCCGGTTGCAACACCGTACACTATTGTCTTAGGAAACCAAGCGCAATCCACAAAGTTGAAACTGAAGTGCAAATCTGGAAAATTTCCAGGGAAGTCAAGCAGTGTAGGTTTCTAGATCTCAAATTCAAGGGGGGAAAATCCAATTTACAAAGTAACTTCTTCCATTGATTGTGAGCTGTCCATGTTCGGGTAGAAGCATTAACTGATTAAATTCTTCAGTGCTGTGTGGTCATAATTGTGGCCTCCACTGTGCTGACCTTCTAAATTGGTGTGTGACTCACAGGACAGTCACTAAATGAGGAGTAGGTAGCAGAGTGGGACGTTTAGGCATCAGCTTCATCTTCCCAAAGAGCACCACTAGAAAGATGTTGAGTTCAATTGGAATATTTATTGATTACACCCAATACACTGCTCTGTCCCTGAAAAACATGCCATCTGTCTAATTCTCTTTTCCCAAATATACCAGATACAAAAATGTTCTGTGCTGGGGGAGAGGGAAGGTTTTGGGTGTACTTCACACCACTGGGCTCCTGGCCAGCATTTCTCCTTTGTGTTTGTGAGCGCTCACCCTTTTAAGTTCCACTGGGGGGATAAAATGGAGTGTTCCCCCCCCATATTTGGTTGTCTTAATTTTTTTCCCTAGGCGTTCCGCCACCCCTAAGAATGTGTTTCTTCCCCCATATGGGAAGAGGGGGGTCTGATCTCCTATAATTCTTTGTTTCTCTGCACACTTGAAAACCTGTGGGCTAATGACTTTGGAGAGTTTTGGTGGCGACAGGGTTGCAGAGATCAACTTCATTTTATAGCTGCAGACACTGAGGCCCAGATAGGTGAAGAAATCTCAAGACCCTTGGCCAGCATATGCCAGGACAGTGCCTAAAATTAGAAACTTTTGGCTTTTCCACTGAGGCACACTGGCAGGGGGTGGGGGGTTAATAATCTGGTTCTTTCTATTGTGGTTAATGGATTGAAGAGGACTGACTGGGGAGTGAAAGAAAGGGCTGGAAGATAGAACAAGGAAACAGGGCTTGTTTGAGATTGCGTTAAAGGGGTACCCTTTGTTCAGGAAACATGAATATTCTTTCTCTGGGGTAAGAGAAAAGGAAGAGATTAAAAGCAAGATGGAGGTCAGATATTTTTTAGTAGTAGTTTACCTTCTATTGAAACCATGGAACAAGTACTGTTGATTCATCATCAGGTAATTTAGGGTAATGAAGTCTGGCAAATTTCTGGTCCTACCTTCTTGCCTCCTTTGGTCCCTGTTACCTTTTGTTTGCTCAAAGAAAAAGCAATGAAACACTCTCCAGATCTGATAACTGCAGAGATCTCCAGTGAAACCTCTGGCTCCCATCCCAGGATGAGGTCACACAGTCTGATATTATTTGGGTTTATGTCAATGTGTCAACTAGAATGCAAGGCACGTTGTCATGATTCCTTTCCAGCCGTTTATCAGGAGTGGCTCTTTGGCCAGTTGTATGCTTTGGGTAATCATAACCATTCAGAAGCACGGCCCATCCGTGGGTGTGCGTATGTCTTTTCTTTTTCAAGGGATAGTTTTAAATTCATGTGGAAAACATGACTTTGAGTTGTAACTGGTATTACGGCTCTGGCCTTATCTGTGCTCACTCTTACATTCAAACTTGCCTGGGCAAATCGGAGGTCGGGTGTTTTGGTTTCCTGGAGTCACTTTTCATCATTGTTTGAGGAACTGCTGGGAAAGACCTTGTTCTGTGGGAAGACTTAGTTGAATTGGACAAGAGTAGCCAAGGGACAAGCAGCCATTGCTGGTGCCTCATGCGATCAAAACAATAAGCCTATGTTAAGTATGTATATCTGAGAATAACGTTCATGATAAGCTAATGGTTATCAAATACCTACACCATTCTAAGTGCTTTACACACCTTCACAGCAGCCCTTTGGAGTTTGTGCTATATTATTATTTCACAAACAAGGAAATAAATAATGGAAGTGAACAGACAAGAGCCGTGTATAGTCTCAAGGAGCTTATGGCAGAGTTGGGAAATTAATGTTTCACTCATTCATTCAGCAACTTGAATGCCTACTACATATAAGCTGAGCTATAAAAATTTATGCACCTCCTATGCTTGTCCAGGTGTGCTAGCAATCAAATGGAGAAATGTTCATGTAAATACACTTGGAAATGTGTTGATAGAAGGGAGGAGGATTCCAAGGAGAGCGTGCTGACAGTCACTTGGATTGCCTTCCCATTGAGCTCCTTCTGGAATCATGGTGGAAACCTAGGGAGATTTGACTGTGTTAAAAGTGAAAGCAGGAACTCAGAAGTGATTCACCAAAATCTGTGTGCTACATTGAGTATGTGATGGGACACCAGTAACTCCGTAAGGAGTAGAATTGGCAGCACTAACATTAAGTGGCTTAGGAACTGTGGTAGATGACATCCTTGGTGTCTCAGTAGCTAAATTAGTACCTTGGGCATTAGCACCTGTGACCTTCGTTCTCATTGGCAGACATCACTGGATGGAACCCAGCAGGAGAGGAGGAAAGTGGCAGGTACTATGTGATCATGAAGATAGTGTTCATGGGCTTGTCAGTGAGTCATCTCCTGGGGAGTCTGTGACATTTACTTAGGGTGGTGAGGATGCGGGAGTAGGAGGGCAGAGTATTGGCAATCACAGAGAAAGGAAATCCCTAGTAACAAATCTGCACTTCAGTTTGGGGTGTGCTTTAGGGACATGAATTCTATAAAGTGCCGTTTAGCAGGTGTTTGTTGTGGGTGCACCACTACGCCTCAGCTCTCTGTTTTGAAAATGGTAATAGTAATAGAATGTACCTCACTGGGTTGGTATAAGGCTTAAATAAGTAAGTAAATATAAGAGTGCTAATAGTGATGCCTGTAAGCCATTATCTAAGTGATGGCGATAAAGAAAGA